AAGGAGATTTAAAGACGGGCTCAAAGCCAACCTTAAGAACTCTGGCATAGACACCGAGAGAGAACTGGGAAGCCCTGGCTCTTGAGCACTCTAGCTGGAGGTCAGCTGTGACCAGCAGTGCTGCAGAATTTGAAGAGGCACGAATGGAGGGCGAACGAGAAAAATGTGTCAAGAGGAAAGTGTGTCAAGCCAACCCCGACTGGGACCACCTTCCACCTGGAAACCAATGCCCTCACTGTGGGAGAAGATGCAGGTCAAGAAGAGGGCTCCACAGTCACCTACGGACCCACCACTAGGATACCACTCTTGGAGGACTATCATCCTCGGACTACGATAACAGCAGAAGCGGTCATGGGAGTAGTCCTCATAATTGTGATTCAGACGCTCTGAGAAAAGGCTCCCAAACGAACTCATCCAAATGCACTACTGTAGATTTTTCTCTATCCGACAATCTCTTGTTTGCAAATGCGTAATTGGCACTCCGTGTGAAGTACATTCCATGAACTGTCCATTGTGCTGCCGCTCTGAGCGACGCCAATGACACCTTGTGTAGGTCATCCCGGCTGCAAAGTAAAGAGATGATGACCAGCAAGAGGGAGGAGGGCACAAGCGTGTCTCTCTTTCCTCTGAAAGATGATGCTGAAGAGCAAAGGATTGGGGAAGACTACACCACAATTCAAGAGAGATATTGACAAGCTGGAATGTGTCCAGAGGAGACCGACTAAAATGATCAAGGGTCTGGAGAACAAGCCCTATGAGGACCGGCTTAAGGAGCTGGGCATGTTTAGCCTGAAGAAGAGAAGGCTGAGAGGAGACATGATAGCCATGTATAAATATGTGAGAGGAAGCCACAGGGAGGAGGGAGCAAGCTTGTTTTCTGCTTCCCTGGAGACTAGGACACGAAACAATGGCTTCAAACTACAAGAGAGGAGATTCCATCTGAACATGAGGAAGAACTTCCTGACTGTGAGAGCCGTTCAGCAGTGGAACTCTCTGCCCCGGAGTGTGGTGGAGGCTCCTTCTTTGGAAGCTTTTAAACAGAGGCTGGATGGCCATCTGTCAGCGGTGATTTGAATGCAATATTCCTGCTTCTTGGCAGGGGGTTGGACTGGATGGCCCATGAGGTCTCTTCCAACTCTTTGATTCTATGATTCTATGTTCCTACTTACATACAAAGAACTTCAATAGCACTGTGAGAAGCATTCAGCAAGGTGAGACTTCATGAAACCCGGTAGCATCCAGGATAAACGACGCAGATGTGATGGAGGCTACACTTCTTTGCAGAACGCTTTATAAGCAGAGAGCCTGGATGCGCCCATCGTTATGACAGCGGTCGATTGATAGAAATATTCACCTGCCTTCTATGGCAGAATAGGCGGTGGACTGGATTGGCCCATGACGTCGCTTCAACTCTATTAGCATTTATTATGATTATTTAATTATTAGTATCTATTATATTATTCATTATAAGCCAGGCAGGCTGGAAGCTTGGCCATAACTAGGCTACGACAAGGTAGGGTGATCTGAATGCAATATTCACTAGCTTCTTAGGCAGAAGAGCCGTTGCGACCTGAGATGGCTCAGGCAGGATCTACTATACCAACTCTTTGATTCTAATTAGTTTATTATTATTATACATCTATATAGTAATTATTAAGCAGAGCTAGGCCATAGTGAAGCCCCCATCTGATGTTACGGGCTGGTGATTGATCGAATATTACCTGTCTATAAGGCAGAAAGGCCGGGGCTCCTGCGACCTCGGCATGGCTCAGGAAAGGTCTACTTCCAACTCTTGAAGGTTCTAAATTATTATAATCTATTCCATTATATATTACTTATTATATATAAGCAGAGCCGCTGCAGCAAGTGGGCCATACTGTCGGAGTGCTCGCCTGAAGTGATTTGCAATGCCATATAGTCCACTGCTTAACCTGAAGCGCAGAAAGGACGTAGACGCACTAGAGATTGGCTCGAGGCAGATCTTGTACTCTTCCAACATCGCTTGAATTCTCATTATTATTAAATTATTATTATTCATATTATTATTTTTATATTAGTAATTAAGCAGAGGCTAGCGGTAGCGCCATTGTTCTCAACAAGTCCTCTGCCAATATTCCTGCTTCTTGAGAGGGGGTTGGAGGATGTAGAGAAATGGCTTCAAACTCCAAGAGAGGAGATTCCATCTGAACATGAGGAAGAACTTCCTGACTGTGAGAGCAGTTCAGCAGTGGAACTCTCTGCCCCGGAGTGTGGTGGAGGCTCCTTCTTTTGAAGCTTTCAAACAGAGGCTGGATGGCCATCTGTCAGGGGTGATTTGAATGCAATATTCCTGCTTCTTGGCTTCTGGATGGCCTATGAGGTCTCTTCCAACTCTTTGATTCTATGATTCTATGAGTTCTCATGGGAATTGCTTTCCATTTGTGCTTCCATTTAGCCACCTGTGTGTCAGTAGCTTCATTTGTTTACAGCCCTGACTAGCTGTTTTGGGATTTCACAATGGGTACAAACTCTAGAGAGTCCATACCAGCGTATAGCAACAAAGGTATGCGTTTGCCTTGACTGCAGAGATCCACAGTCATGCGCATATATGCATTTTTCAGACAAAATTGGGGTTTAAGTACACTTTGTGAACATGTGTTTTTCAGCTTTTAAGGCGAATCAGTATGCAATAATGTCTTATATTCTGGCCTAAATCAATGGACTAACTTAGTAGAATATGGTCAAGAAAAGCCCCCGGGAAGCAAGAAGTAGGACAACAACACTGTGTTTCTCAATAATCAGTAATGAGATGCATCTTATCTCTGATGCCAGAGGCAAGATATAGGCATCACGACTAGTAGCCATTGATAGACTTATCCGCCATTAATCGGTCTAATCCCCCTTTCAAGAAATCCAATTTAGCAACTATCACGAAAGGTTATGCTGGGGAATTCTATAGTCTAGCCATGTCCTATGGGAATCGCGGATCCATACAATTCACATTCAGTAGAGGCCACTAGCTTCTAATATTGTAGGCGGAAATGGGTCACCGTAGTCCACATTCCCCATAACATTCCCAAAGTGACCCATTTAAGGTGGAATCCGGAGTCAAACAGGGATGTGTTATTGCCCTAACGTTATTTTCCATCTTCATTGCTATGATAGTTCATCTTGTTGATGGGAAGCTCTCCACCGGAGTGGAAATCATCTATCGGACAGGTGGCAAGCGATTTAACCTCAAAACCAAGGTCACAACAACATCTGTTATAGAACTCCAGTATGCTGATGACAACATCATCTGTGCACATTCAGAAGAAGACCTGCAAGCCACACCTTTGCAGAAGTATATGAGAAGCTTGGCCTGTCATTGAACATCAAGAAAACCAAAGTACTCTTCCAGTAGACACCAGCCAACCCCTCTCCAATGCCAGAGCTTAATGGTGTAACATTAGAAAATGTGGACCATTCCCCGCTCCCTTGGCAGCCACCTCTCCACCAAAGTCAACATTGACACTGAAATACAACACCGCCTGAGCTCTGCGAGTGCAGCATTTTTCTGACTGAAACAGAGAGTGTTTGAGGACTGAGACATCTGCAGGGATACCAAGGTGCTTGTTTATAAAGCTATTGTCCTCCCAACCCTGCTCTACGCCTACAAAACGTGGACTGTCTACAGACGTCAACATTGACGCTGAAATGCTACACCACCTGAGCTCTGCGAGTGCAGCATTTTTCCGAATGAAGCAGAGAGTGTTTGAGGACCGGGACATCCGCAGGGAGACCAAGGTGCTTATTTATAAAGCTATTGTCCTCCCAACCCTGCTCTACGCCTACAAAACGTGGACTGTCTACAGACGTCACATGCAACTCCTAGAACAATTCCATTAGCGCTGCCTCTGAAAAGTCCTGCAAATCTCTTGGGAAGACAAGCAGAAAAATGTCAGCGTGCTGGAAGAAGGAAAGACCACCAGCATTGAAGCGATGGTCCTCCGCCATCAACTACACTGGACCGGCCACATTGTCCAGATGCCCGATCACCATCTCCCAAAGCAGTTGCTCTACTCCGAACTCAAGAACGGAAAACGGAATGTTGGTGGACAAGAAAAAAGATTGAAAGATGGGCTCAAAGCCAACCTTAAAAACTCTGGCATAGGCACTGAGTACTGGGAAGCCCTGGCCCTTGGGTGCTCCAGCTGGAGGTCAGCTGTGACTAGCAGTGTTGCGGAATTTGAAGAGGCACGAATGGAGGGTGAAAGAGAGAAATGTGCTAAGAGGAAGGCAAGTGAAGCCAACTCCGACCAGGACCACCTTCCACCTGGAACCCGATGCCCTCACTGCGGGAGAAGATGCAGATCAAGAATTGGGCTCCACAGTCACCTACGGACCCACCGCCAGGATACTACACTTGGAGGACCATCATCCTCGGACTATGAGGGATCGCCTAAGTAAGCAGAGTGGAAATCATCTATCGGACAGATGGCAAGCTATTTAACCTCAAAACCAAGGTCACAACAACATCTGTTATAGAACTCCAATATGCTGATGACAACGTCATATGTGCGCATTCAGAGAAGATCTACAAGCAATTCTAAAGACCTTTGCAGAAGCATACGAGCAGCTCGGCCTCTAATTGAACATTAAGAAAACCAAAGTGCTCTTCCAGCAGTCACCGGCCAATGCCAGAAATACACTCCACCTAGCAACAGCCAATCCAGTGATACCGGGGGGGGGGGGGCACTTCCCTCTCTTTGAGGTCTAAACAGACAGACAAACATACATTCATAGATGTATTTTGCCAATTAGCTTCTCCAAGGCATCTCTCCGAATTGGCATCTAAAGCCAGTGCAGAGAAAACAGCAGATTACATTCCAAGCCTGCCATTTTGGAGAGCTTTTCTCAGGAGCACATAATGTAAACGATGCAAAAAAAAAAAGTCCTGAATCTGCAAGCGACAGCAAAATGCAAGCGAGCCGCTAGTTTGCACAACTCCCCCCCTGGGGACGGCACGTTCGTCAACTTACCGACACTTGTGATTTTCTGGGAGGCCAGATCGTGAAGCAAGGCGGCAACGGCCGGGTTGTGCCGGGAATACAGTTCGTATCGGTTGATGCCAATGTGGAACTTGAGCCAGTTTGGATAGGAATCAATCGATGTTTCTCCGGTGGGAAGGAATTCTTCGTCTTCGTTGCCTTCGTTCTGCCTACCGAAGGAAAACAAACCAGAAAGATTAGGTTGCTTGGCAATACCAGCCGTGCACTTGGAGACGGGGAGCGAGGGAGGAAGAAGGGGAGCCAAGCCAAGGCTTGCAGAAGGGCCAAGAAAAGCACCGGACAGGACACGTTGGCCGTACTTTGGCTCAGCTGAACTGTAGGCCAGTGTTCTGAATTTTGGACACTGTGGAAGGAAGCATACACTGACTTTGCAGTCTCTGCAAGGAAGAGCAGGGTGGGAAAAATGCAGTCGATAGGATATATACAACTTAAGTGTGTCCCCATTCCAAGAACCCCAAAATGCCCCCTCAATGGCAAACCAGACAACCCAAAGGCTTTGAGAGAGACTATAGAAGGGACTGGGCAAGCTTCGTCCCACAGGTGTTTTGGACTTCAACTCCCACCATTCCTGACAGCCTCAGACCCCTTCAACTCCCATCATTCCTGACAGCCTCAGACCCCTTCCTTTTCCCCCTCAGCTGCTTCAGTGGAAAAGGAAAGGGACTGAGTCTTTTAAGAGTTCTGGGACAATTTATTTATTTATTTATTTATTTATTATTTATTTCGAGGTTTTATATACCGACCCTCTCACCTTCAAAGAGGGATTCGGACCGGTTCACAACATGTGTTAACATACAAAAATATGCAGTAACAACACAATGCAACATCATTACACGATTAAAATATCAGCACCATAAACATTAAAAACATTATAATCACAGTTATAAGAGCCAAATCGTCCACACAATCGCAATCCCAAACTACCGTTCATCATCCTCCTTTCATGGGGGCAAAGAATTAAATCAGTTGTCAAATGCCACGTTCCACAACCAGGTCTTTGTTAATTTCCTGAATGTCATGAGGGAGGGGGCAGTTCTGATCTCTAATGGCAGAGAGTTCCAAAGCCAGGGAGCCACCATCGAGAAGGCCCTGTCCCTCGTCCCCACCAGCCGTGACTGTACAGGCGGTGGGACCGAGAGCAGGGCCCCTCCAGACGATCTTAGTGGTCTTGATGGTTCGTAGGGGAGAATACGTTCGGAGAGGTAAACAGGGCCGGAGTCGTTTAGGGCTTTATAGGTTAACACCAGCACTTTGACTTGTGCTCGGAAGCTAATTGGCAGCCAGTGGAGCTCGAGTAACAGCGGAGTGGTGTGCTCCCTGTACCCAGCACCCGTTAGTAGTCTGGCTGCCACGCGTTGTACTTGCTGCAGCTTCCAGGCAGTCTTCAGAGGCAACCCCATGTAGAGAGCGTTGCAGTAATCTAAGCGGAATGTAAGCAAAGCATGTACTACCGTGGCCAAGTGAGGGAACACTGTATAAGGCACACATTCAATGCCTTTTTAAAAGGTAAACAACAACATACAATACACTGATAAAGGTAAAGGCTTCCCCTTCCACTTCTGCCATCTGGGAAAAGGAAGAGCCCGAGGCTGGTAGGAATGGTGGGAGTTGAAGTCCAAAAACACCTGGAGGGATGATCGAAGTTGACCCCTGCCTTTGTCCTCTTGGAACTGGAATCGTCTGCACACCCATGTTGTGGGAGTAGAAACCCAAAACACCTGGAGGGAAGGCCCAAGGTGGCCCAAGCCTTTGTCCTCTTGGAACTGGACACTTCAGTCAATCAAGGAATCATCTGTATACCCATGTTGTGGGAGCTGAAGTCCAATCAAGGAATAATTCTATAATCTATGATTCTATAATCATCTGCACACCTATGTTGTGGGAGTAGAAGCCCAAAACACTTGGAAGGAGGGCCCAAGTTGGCCCATGCCTTTGTCCTCTTGGAACTGGACACTTCAGCCAATCAAGGGGTCATCTGCATAACCATGTTGTGGGAACTGAAGTCCAAAACACCTGGAAGGAGGGTCCAAGTTGGCCCATGCCTTTGTCCTCTTACAACTGGACACTTCGGTCAATCAAGGGGTCATTTGCATACCCATGTTGTGGGAGTTGAAATCTAATCAAGGGATCATCAGCATACCACACTGTGGGAGCTGAAGACCAATCAAGGGATCATCTGCATACCCATGTTGTGGAAGTCCAAAACACCTGGAGGGAGGGCCCAAGTTGGCCCCAACTTTATACTCTTGGAACTGGACACTTCAGCCAATCAAGGAAACATCTGCACACCCATGTTGTGGGAGTAGAAGCCCAAAATACCTGCAGGGAGGGCCCATAATGGCCCATGCCTTTGTCTTCTTTGTAATGGACACTTCAATAAATCAAGGGGTCATCTGCATACCCATGTTGTGGGAGTTGGAGCCCAAAACACCTGAAGGGAGGGCCCAAGTTGGCCCCTGCATTTGTCCTCTTGGAACTGGACATTTCAGTCAATTAAGGGGTCATCTGCATACCCACGTTGTGGGAGTTGAAGCCCAAAACACTTGGAAGGAGGGCCCAAGTTGGCCCATGCCTCTATCCTCCTGGAACTGGACATTTCAGTCAATCAAGGGATCATCTGCATACCCACATTGTGGGAGTTGATGTCCAAAACACTTGGAAGGAGGGCCCAAGTTTTCAAAGCATTTAAAAAACCCAGAAGTCCCTTTGCCCTTCCAAAGCTTTCTCTGCCATTTTTGTGATGATTCGAACCACCAGCATCCCCTACATCCTAAAAGAGTTTTGAAACATTTTTTTTTTTTTGGATTAACAGGTTTAAGAACATGCCTCCTTTAAATGTCTTGGAAAGAGTGGCGTGCAGAATTAGGAGAAAAACAGTGTGTGCCTGCCTGCAGTGCCTCTCCTCTAGAGTAGAAACAGGAAAAATGCCTAAAATGACAGGAAGGAGAACCTGGGAAGCCCCCCCTCCCCCGTTCCCGATAATGGGCCAACAGAAAACAGATCTTTTGGCACCGCAGAGTGAAAACAGATATCTGCCCTCTCAAATTTGAGAGGCTCCCAAAAAATAGATCGGGGCTCCCACCAAAAGCCAGGAAATCAAAACGGATCAAAGTTTACCAAGATTGCACAAGCCTGGCAATGACCCCTCTTGGCTGCTTAATGCTTGGTTTCAAAAATCATCCCAGGACGCATCTACATTGTAAAATAAATGCAGTTTTGAAACGACTTTGATTGCCGTGGCGCAATGCTGTGGAATTCTCAGTTTGTAGCTTGACAGCTACCTCTCCACCAAAGTCAACATTGACACTGAAATACAGCATTCAGAAGAAGACCTCCAAGCCACTCTGAACACCTTCACAGAAGCATACGAGAAGCTCAGACTGTCATTGAACATCGAGAAAACCAAAATGCTGTTCCAGCAGACACCAGCCATCCCCTCTCCAATGCTAGTGATACAGCTTAATGGTGCCACATTAGAAAATGTTGACCATTTCCACTTCCTTGGCAGCCACCTCTCCACCAAAGTCAACATTGACACTGAAATACAACACCGCCTGAGCTCTGTGAGTGCAGCTTTTTCTCCAAATGAAGCAGAGAGTGTTTGAGGACCGGGACATCCTTAGGGAGTCCAGGGTGCTTGTTTATAAAGTCATTGCCCTCCCAACCCTGCTATATTCCTGTGAAACGTGGACTGTCTACAGATGTCACATGCAACTCCTAGAGTGATTCCATCAGCGTTGCCTCCAAAAAAAATCCTGCAAATCTCTTGGGAAGACAAGTGGACAAAGATCAGCGTGCTGGAAGAAGCAAAGACCACCAGCATTGAAGTGATGGTCCTCTGCCATCAACTCCACTGGACCGGCCACATTATCTGGATGCCCAACCGCCATCTCCCAAAGCAGTTGCTCTACTCCAAACTCAAGAACGGAAAATGGAATGTTGGTGGGCAGGAAAAGAGATTGAAAGATGGGCTCAAAGCCAACCTTAAAAAGTCTGGCATAGACACTGAGAGAAACTGGGAAGCCCTGGCCCTTGAGCACTCCAGTTGGAGGTCAGCTGTGACCAGCAGTGCTATAGAATTTGAAGAAGCATGAATGGAGGGTGAAAGAGAGAAATATGCCAAGAGGAAGGCACGCCAAGCCAACCCCAACCGGGACCGCCTTCCACCTGGAAACCGATGTTGTCATGCGGGTCAAGAATAGAGCTCCACAACCACCTATGGACCCACTGCCAAGACACTACACTTGGAGGACCATCAATCTCAAGCTACGAGGGATTGCCTAAGTCAGTGGTTCTCAACCTGTGGGTCTCTCCCCAGGTGTTTTGGCCTACAACTCCCAGAAATCCCAGCCAGTTTAGCAGCTATTAGGATTTCTGGGAGATGAAGGCCAAAACATCTGGGGACCCACAGGTTGAGAACCACTGGCCTAAGTAATAAGTAAGTAAGTTGTAGCTTGACAAAGCCTTGAGCCTTCTCTGCTACTTTCTCACGAAACGAGAACTCTCAGGATTCCATAGCACCGAGCCTTGGCAGTCCAAGTGGTTTCAAGTCGCATTAATTGTGCCGTGGAGACTGATGCATCAACAGCCTTGTTGCATAACTGGATTTTGGATGAAAGGCAAGCCTGTAGACTCTCAAACCACAACCTAGTGATCAAGGATAACATGAAATCTCAGGGATGTTGGACTAGTTCCCATGTAAGCAATCCTTGCTTCCTCTCTCTTTCGCTCTCTCTTTGCCAGACCTTTGATGCCAGTTCCTCTGTTTGCTGGAGAAGTTAATCGTTTACTGCTCCGTCTTATGTCCGACCCGCCCTTTCTCCTCTCTTTCTCTGTCCTCTCTCGCTCACTCTGTATTTTTTCAGCCTTCGGAGCTTTTGGGGAGGAGAGCGCATACCAGGCATAGCTGCAACATACGACAACGATATTCCTTTGAAAAGCTCTGACCTTGCGTTGGAATCCAAAGGCCCGGGAGATGCTTCTGAATGAAACACACCACTGGCAAAACAAGCCCTCAAAATATGAACGAAACCACCAAAACAACATTAAAAGGAAAACCACACCATCTCAGCAGCACAAACACTGAAATAGACACAAAGCTGTGCTCTGTTTGCTCTTACTACAATTTTTTTCCAAATTATCTTGTATC